AGGGGGGGGGCATGGTGCCTGTCGTAAGCTTCGGCGCTGGAGATGACCAGCAAAAGGCACCTTAATCCAATCGGAAAAGGCCAGGTTGTAGGGTGTAGGCTGAATCGTACGGTTCAGAGTGTGTGTGTGTGTGTGACTCTACGTACTAAGGGTTGTTTCGCCTGATAGTATAGCTCGAGATCTCGGACTATGGATGTGCGATAGGTACGCGTATGCATGTGCATATGGTCATGGTGTGGGAGAGAAGACTCACATTGTTTGCATGGGAGCGCTATCGTCCTGTCTGAAACAGTAAGATGCATCCACCCAAGGCACTCCTGTCATTTGTGCCTCAGGGTGAACAGCATCCCAATTGGCAAGGGCGCTGAGGTTGAACGACCCAAGTGATGGCAGGAAGTGAAACGGAACAAAGGGTTAAGGGGATTCGCCCTCAAGCAACAGTCTGTTCAACATCAGACTGCAGCAAACACGTCACGGTACCCCTGCTGGCTCTCTCAGGGCCGGGCAAGGCGCGCATCGCCGCCTGGTTTGAAACAACCACACACCTCGTACAAAAACTTATACGCTTAAGCCTTGGTGGGGAGGCTTGGACCAGCGCGAGGCTGCGACCCTGCTTGCGGCCCCCTCCAATAGCGGATGACGGTCACGAACAACTTTGCCACTGTTGTGTCGTGCTTTGGGCTTCGAAATAAACGATGCTTCATGCGCCGGCCGACTACCCTTTGAATGGATCTGCTATTCGTCTGATACAAACGGGCACGTTTCATGTTGCGACGTTGCCCAAAGTGTGAGTACCTTTCCTTTAGCAATAATGTCATGGGAAGGCGGCTCAACCCGGTATGGCCGTGAAAGACGGCCCCTTCTGTATGTCACGGCGTAGCTACCGATTGAGCAAACATGCACCTTTGGCTTTCGCAGGAACTAGCTTAGAAAACATGTCAGCGGTAATCTCACGTGCTGCTAATCTGTCTGCATATATTCGAATATCTCAATATTAATGTATTGATGTAGTTTAATGTGTATATATATGTATGTATACGTATATGTATGTGTGTATATATATATATATATAAACATATGTATGCGATTATGCAAGCGAATGTGTGTCTCCGTGTGTGTGTGTGTGTGTGTGTTCCTGCACACGGACGTATGTAGATGTCAAGCTGGCCTGGCCGCTCCGTTGAAGCTGGGGGATGGTGGGCATCCTTCCGGTGAAGGGCCCCCCTCTTTGAGCCAAGTGCAGCAAGCCGCGTAGGGTCGCAAAGTCGCATTGCTGCATGGTTGAGGACGAGAGACCCTGGCTTCGAACAAACTGAGTGGATCAGCTTTCCTTGCTGTCTACACCACTGATCCAGATTGCTGCATACCTTACACCCTGCACCTGAAGCCTCACCCGCAAATACAAACCCTCCACCTTCGACCCTGACCCCTAAACAGACCTGAAAACCAAACTCCCCGTCGCGGCTGTTTCTCCGAAGTTCGTGGTGTCTCGCCCTGCCCGAAACCCTCCGATCTCTGGGAGAAAGCGTCCGAAGCCTTGCACGGTTTAGGGTTCATGTGTAAGGTTCGTACTGTCTGTAACGTCTTGGTCCTAAAGCTCGATGTTGGGTTTAGTCGACCCCAAACCGGTAGAAGGTCGATATGCGGCTGTTAAACTCGCGGCGTAGTCAAAGTTTTCGGCCTCGAAAATTCTTGAGGCTTTAAGCTTTTGGGGCCATTATGCAGGGCTAAAGGTTTGTGGATTTCCGGATTCAGGACGTTATGGGTTTGAGGTGCTGGAGTGTCTCAGGGTTTAAGGCGCCTGGTGGGTCGAGGGATGCGTTCAAGAGACTATGGCTAAGTCTCCGAGTAGAGCCCGGCTGCAAAATAGCCTCTAGGATTTGAACAATCTGTGCATCTGCATTCTGGGGCCTGAGGGGATTGACTGCAATTCACCCTTGTTGTGAGGACGATTCTTGCTTTATGCGGAAATATAATACAATATAGCAACAATAGTATAATGAACAAGATGACCAACACGTGATATGATGAAGCAGTATGTATATATATATATATATATAGAAAAAAACATGTGTCGCGAAAAACCGAAACATGTAATCAACAGCCGTGACTATACAGGACCGGAAGTCCCAGACAAGGCTTTTGCGGCCCAGGGTGTTCCGGTTTCCGATTAAGACCGTTCGTATCAGAAGGATTTTATAAGGGTATTAAAGAATTCTGTAGGTTTGTACAGAGGTTCGATACGGGTCTGAAAGGGGGTAGTATAAGTTAGGGTCTCCGTAGAGCACTGACCAGAAAGATGCTTGATAAAACGACTGCAGAAAAGAGCAGCGAAATCTAAACGCTGACCACGGCCGGAAATCTTTCGTGAAATTAAGAACCTGAAACCCTATACAAATCCTTATATTACAGAACTTGAAGTTAAAACCCTTCAGCGGAACCGGTTTGGTACAGAATCCACCTCGGCCGTCACTGGTCACTGCCAGGAGAGCCTCAGTCGTTTCTCTGGAGATCCTTCAGCCGCCTGCTTGGATACTCTGATGTGTAAGGCCCTAATTATAAGAGTTTAGGGGTCGCGGTGTAGGGGTATAGGGTTGAGGGGTTTAGGGTGAAGGGTGTAGGTAGCTGTACGTATCGGTTTTACATTATTCGGGAGTCCGTTGTCACTGTTGTCGGGTTTCTACTCGAAGGATTACGGTAAAAAAAATAACCTGATAGGGATAGTATCAGGACTACCGTAAGCTTTCTTGTTGTTTGGATTCAGGCTTGGTGCGTTGATGCGTGGAGCTTGGCTGCTTGTTCAGGGTCTCGGTGGGGATTTGGGATAGTTCAGGATTTAGCATGAGTGTTGCCGTGTAGTATAGGGGCCTCGATAATTAAGAATAGGGTTTGGGGCCCATTATACTATAGTTATATAATAATGCCCCCCCCAAACAGAGTTTGGTAATTATCTAGGCCCGTATACGAGTCTAGAGGTTCACAGGTCCCGAAGTCGCTGACCACCAAGCGAAATGCTCTGGATCGGTTCTGGCTCCCACCATGTATATATATATATATACTGTTCTTTGCAAACAATCCTAGACCCGAAGTCAACCCTAAACCCTAATGCCTGAACCCTGAGCTTCCGAGAGAAAAGCCCGCCTTAAGCCGCTTCCGCAAGAAGGCAGGAAGCGCAAAGGCTGCTGCCTCAGGGATTCGCGCGTGGCCCTGTCTGTCGGCAGTATTTCTAGAGTCGTGGTCCAGTCGGGGTTGGGATGCAGAGGAGCAGTTTTGGTACATGCTTCAGGCTGTGGGCGGTTCGCAAAACACTGACCTTTACTGTTCAATTGTGAATTACCGGGAGAATGTTTCAGCCCACTACTAGCACTAGTACTTGCAGTAGTAGTAGTAGTAGTAGTAGTAGTAGTAGTAGTAGTAGTAGTAGTAGTAGTAGTAGTAGTAGTAGTAGCGGCGGCAGCATGGTGGAGGAGGCGGCGGCGGAGGAATAGCAAAAGCGGTAGCATCAGCAGCAGCATCGGCAGCAGCAGCAGCAGCAGTAGGACGAGCAATTGAAGTGCTAGTCGCGTCGTCATATGGAGTAGTTGTAGTAGTACCCGTGATTGCAGAAGGGATGAAGAGCGGCAGCAGCAGCAGCAGGAGCTGAAAACCCACACACTTCGACCACCTCGCAACTGAGAAGCATACGGACACCAATCAAACACAGCTGTCTACGGCAGAACACCGAGCCTCCGTACCGATCAACATGAAATGGGAGCTCCCGAAAATGATAACCTTTGCATTTCCCAATTATAATGTTGATCCTTATCATGGGGACCGCTAAAAAGGGACCCCCCCCCCCCCCGAGTTTGCTGAAACCCTCCATACACAGAAGCTCGAAGCAATAAGCATGGGGCGCTTAAGCCTCCAAAGTCTCGATCCGAGCAACTCATCTTTCAGGGAATCGCAGTACTTCATAGGGACCCTTAGGGGGGATAGGGGGGAGGCGGCTAGGGTGCCTTAATACATATATAATAAGGCCTTAATAAGGGTCCCTATGATTGCTGAAGGGTCGCCTCAGCTTCTAGGCTTTGCCTAAACTCCAAACCAAAGACACGAAAAGACTAGAGCCCAGAAGTAAGACCGGAACGTGCATCTCCGCTGTGTAGTAGCGAAGAGGCATTCCGGTCGGCCTTGAGGCATAGAATGCTTCCCGGTTGATGCTATGAGATGGAAGCTTAGAACAAAGCACAGAGAGTACGATGACAGATGGTAGTGCTAATGAAATGTTTGCCGCTGCTAGCCGTTAACCACTCGATCTGCTGGATTTCGTTCATACTTTCAACACCATTTGCCAGATGCCTAATGAAACAAATGCACATGCCATTAAATCCCAAAGCCCAGAAACACTAAACCTCTCCAAGTGCAAACACAACATAAACAATTCTAAAGCAACCCTGTGCTCGAGAATTCCAGAGTCCCACTGACACGAAGACCCTCAGCAGTGTTTCAATCAGGATCATCTTCGTGGCAACTGCTAGCAATACCATGGACGGCATAATTGCCGTTGCTGCCAAAAGTATTCTCCTGGCTACTGTCCTCGACACTGTCCTTGCTTTCTTGCTACTGAAGAGTAAGCGGTCAGCAACGAAGATGGACAACCGCGAAAGACACAAACACCTTCATGCTGGCGCACCATTTCGGAAGGTATGGTTTATTCGCCAAGCGCATCGCATGTCCCCGGTCCTTGTATGTTAGCGGATTTCGGTGTGCCCTGGAGACATTACAGATGTCTTGCATGACCCTTAATTGTCGTGAGGTTCCTTATGTAGTTCATTCACCGGGGATTCGCTTCTTGATTGTCCCGTGACTGCATGCAATATCCGCAAAACCCTAAACCCCAATAAGCCTAAACCACCCTAAACCCTAAAACCCTAAACCCTAAACCCTAAAACCCTAAACCCTAAACCCTAAACCCATCATCTTCACGCCGCTATCAGCCCTTGTCCAGCTGAGGGTTCTGCGGCTCTCGTCTCGGGCTTCGGCAAGACGCAGGGCCTTTGAGGTTTTTTAAGGAAGTACGCAAAGTGTGCAGTTGCTGAAGAGGCTGACGGTTTAGGAAGTTTGGCCACTCATTATTTGCAGGAGTTGAGGTTTCAGGTTTGAGGGATTCGATTGGTGAGGATAGGGTGCGCCAGACGTGAGAAGTCAGAACCTTATAATGCTTGCTAAACCTGTAGGGTTTGCTGGATGGTGGTTTGGGGTTCGAGCAACGCGGTGCACAAGGTCTTTTTGTGCTTTTAGGCTCCGACGTTTCACCGTCTCGGCTGGGCCTAGGGGTTTAAGTGTGCAAGGGTCTAGAGACACCAAAAGGGTTTTGCAGGGTTGGACTTGTACATTGTGCAACCCCAAAATGGCCTGCTGTGCCAGCTTTCCGCGCGATGAAGGCACCAATCTGACCCGAGGGATACGTCGGCACCTGCAAAACGTGCTGGCGCACCTCCATGTAGTGGAGTTTAAGCTCAGGGTGTTTTTCGGCTATGATTTTTCATAGGAACTAAGAGGGGATACCATTACGAATTGTTCCGACCCCTGTATTACGCGTGAGTGAGATTATTTAGACTTCACACTCGGGGAGGTCGATGAGGAAGCCACCCGTGTGTTGCTTGGAGCCTCTCCATCAAACTTGATTTCCTCAAAACCTGTGGAGTAGACTGCTTCTTTAGGCAGCACGCGGCAAGAAGACTGTGCTCTCATGGGATTGTTGGCATTCTCCCCAAGTCTTGCAAGACGTTGTGATAAGCCGCGACACGCAAATATGAACCTTCCCAATAAAATCTTTCGGAGTCTACTGTCGCTTGCAGATACTCGTCCCTGAATGGCCGGATGGGGCCGGCTGCACAGCTCTCTCCGGGTGCTCTCTTAAACTGGAGATGTTTTGGGATACCGTGCACAACCACACTCTCGTCATCGAGGATGCTGTAGACAGTAGAGCTCGAGACTGCACACCAGCATCAACCCTCTACGAGGGTGCTCATGCAGCTAAAAGACCACGATCGACAGTAAGATGGCCTGGATACTTGCATACTCAGCGCTTGCGAAGCATGCCTCATCAGCTGAAGCAAGCGGAAAAGTACGGAAGTGGCCCCGTTCTTCAACAGCATCATCAACATGGCCATCCGCGACATCAAAAAGCATGCTCACGATCATCCACGTCTTTCAGACCTGAGTCTGCCACAGGCAAGAAACAAGTTGATGAGTTCCTTGCGCCATAGTCTGTCACCATAGCGTCAATGAGATCCTGCCAAGAGCCGCAACACAACGACAGTCGCGGGATCATCCACGATATATGGTCTCAGAAGTCAGGGATCGTGCAAGCGACATAGCGCGCAAAGCAATCTTGACAAGTTACGTCTTAAACTTACACTCGACACTTTCACGTAAGCCCAGGCATGTCACACGCATGCGTGAATCAGGTGGGCATAGTCTGGGACACGACAACAATTTGCACGTCACGGCGGCAGGGGAGTCAGAACCTGTGGAGAGCATTAGTCAGAGTAGGTCAGTCCAACCTACGGTATAGTTTATTTTGGTAAGGAGCCCATGGATCCGCAAATCAGAAAACCTAAGCCCACAAACCCCCGAGGCCTCGTTTAGCCACAAGCATTCGCCCTGCGAGCACACCACGCCACCGGGCTTCAGGATGCGATGGACATTCCTCAGGTTGATGCGGACGATTTTGGGTGCTGGCCTGACGGTTCAGGCTTCAACTCTTCTGCGGTTAGGCACAGTTTTGGGCTGAATACCCCTTGTGCATATCTACCCTCTTGAAGCTTAGTATAGAAATACAAGCATGCAGACATACACACGAACATACACACATGCATACACACATGCATTCGTTCAGGCATGCATGCATTGTGCATACGTAAGTAAGTACGCCTGAACTTAGGCATCCATGCATGCATGCATGCATACATCTATGCGTGTATGCAGGTACGTATGTACATGTACATATGCACGATTATGCACGGATGGATGGATGGATGGATGGATGGATGGATGGATACATGGATACATGGATGGATGGATGGATGGATGGATGGATGGATCTGTGTTTCGCGTATGTATATATGCATGTATGTACGTATGTATGTATGCAGGTGTATATGTATACATATATACATATACATATATATATATGTGTGTGTGTGAGCGCGTCTGTATTCATGTATGTATACGTATGTACGTGGGTTGGTAGGCTGGCCGGCAGGCAGGCAGTCAGGTAGGTATCTGTGTATGTGCACATGCAAACACTCTTCATATATATATATATACAATATACACAAGTTTACTATTTCTATGCATGCATATATATATATATGTATGTAAACACACACTTATGCATGTATATATCTATATGGATATACATACATACATACATACATATATATATATATATATATATATAGAGTCCGGGGGGCTGTGGGAGTGCACCTTTTTCCACAAAATCTAAGTATCGCATTGTCGAGCCATCTAATGAACCACCTGCGAGAATAGGATACAGGCAGACGCACACATACTTAAACGAGCATTCATTCAACTTTTTTTACACACATGTATACCAAGGTATGAGTACACAACTGACATTCTTTCTTTCTCGTTCGCAAGCTGTTATATCGTTGCCACGGAAGCTCAAACAGTCTTTCTTGGTTTTCTCGTTTCGTATCTCTGAAGCCATGTCGGAGTTTCGTGGTGATCATATACCAGGTTTGCTTCGTGAACTTGGAGGGCGGGATGGCGCACTTACATTCGATGAGGCTATCATGCGCATAGATATATATGAAGAATAAAGATATACGGATAAATGTATATACATATGTCTATATATATATAATAAATATCCATATACAAATACGGATATATATATATATATGTGTATATACCCTCATATGTATGTGTGACATTGTGCATAATAGAGAGCTCGGCATATGTATAAGTATATATATATATATATGAATATATATATATGATATATATATATATATATATATACATATTATACTGTGCCTTACATTAATCGACAAATGTCGACTTTTCACTATTCATACATAGTTACATGCACATATCTGGGTGTGGAGCATGCTTCTAGATGTAGTACAAACTTCTGATCTATAAATGATATTTTATATGATTATATTCCTATTATTATCACCAACCATGCCTTTTGCATTAATACTCTTATCAATACATTTTAAGATAATAACCGAATATTCAATCCAAATATAGACAACAATAGCACTAGATATACGAAACTTTTCAATACACACCAAACCGAAATTCTATAGATTACCAGCAACAATTGCGTTGTAAAGTGGCACATACATGTATTTATCATATTTTAATTATAGTCATATTCAGAAGAATAATCGGAATATTAAAAGCATATTGGGTTACCAGCAACAAATGCGTTGTAAAGTGGCACATACATGTATTTAGCATATTCCATTTATAGTCATATTCAGAAGAATAATCGAAATATAGTCATTTATAGTCATATTCAGAAGAATAATCGAAATATAGAAAGCATATTGATATGTGGACAAGCTAAACATATAAATCAATGAACAAATCCTCTAACACGAACGAAATATAATTTAACATACAAGCATAATATGTTCTTTAAGCTTATAAAGTTGTTGGCCAATACAATATATAGATATGCACCCATTTAGGAAAGCCTACGTCTTCCAAATAATTGACGTCATATAGAGATTTGCATACAATAAGATAACATATAATCAAGATTATGAAAATCGACAATAACGAACCAGTATCGTAATAACGAACATGAGATTAAAGATAAAACTTCTATTAGTATCCTATTACGATATTTAAAATTAGCAAATATTTTTCTTATACAATAACGTTATGACAAACAAATATATAATTATACAAACAAATGAAATAAGCTAGATTCACTAATTATGCCTTCAGTTTTTACTTGCGAAAGAAAACAAGGTTTCACATAGAACAATACTAGTACTTTATTTTTTGTATCAACACAGTTGACACATGCATTTCAAAAATAGGTACTCATACATATTCACGTATATATACATATACATATATATATATATAGCACACATGCATACTTACATATTTCCCACGCACAGGTATCTATACACATCCAAGTTTTCTAGTATACTAAGAAGAGCCTATGTGAGATTATAATAAGATTGAATAACTATACCAATTTACAACAATATAACCACCAGTACTATACACTTTGTTTTGTTTGAAAAATATTCACAAAAAGTATCGACGAATCGGTATCTACCTATATATTTCAGAGACCCATTTAATAGTCCTCGTATTAACACTAAAAATGGTAGTTACTGTAAAACAAGCGGAGTTCGACAGATAATTGATCGCTATATCACGCAGGCCCGAGTAGCCTACAAGAATGACGAAGGCATAATTAATGAATCTAGCTTATTTCATTTGTTTGTATAATTGTTTATTTGCTTATCATAATGTTATTGTATAAGAAAAATATTTGCTAAATTTGAATATTGTCATTGGATACTAATAGAAGTTTAATCTTTAATCTCATGTTCGTTATTACGATACTGGTTCGTTATTGTCGATGTTCATAATCTTGATTATATGTTATCTTATTGTATATAAGTCTCTATATGAAGTCAAGCAGGGATACCCAAATAGCAATCCATATAGAACTATGTAGTGTTTGCTTGTGTGTGTACGATATGAAGTCTGCACTCAAGGTGACGTCGCTGTAGTTCTGATGCGCCTCGCATACCCACAAAGCTTCTCATCATCATGAGAACAAAAAGTGCTGATGTGCAAGTGTGGTTTTTCGCACTGCTATCTAGTCGTATACGTTGGCCATGCTACGTTATGTCCCTGGGAGTGCGCATCTGCCGTGATTTACGCGCGAGTCTTTCGAAAAAACCAAAAAAAACAAAAAAACCAAAGAAACCAAAAAAACCAATTATCAGAGACTCCTGGACTGAGGTGTCCATGGCCGGAGAGTGTCAGATCTTTGGTTTCTTTGGTTTTTGTTGGTTTTTATGGTTTTTTTGGTTTTTATGTTTTTTTTGGTTTTTATGGTTTTTTTGGTGTTTATGGTTTTTTTGGTTTTTATTGTTTTTTTGTTTTTTATGTTTTTTTTGGTTTGTCTGTTTTTTTGGTTTTATGGTTTGTTGGTTTTTTGAAAGACGCGCGCGTAAATCACGGCAGAGGCGCACTCCCAGGGTCCCCCGTTCTGTATATATATATATATATATGTATAGCTACACATCTAGTGCGATAGACAAAGATACGGATGTAGACATGGATGTACATGCTTGTACAAGCAATGAAGATAAAGCTACAGACATATACATCGATAGACAGTTGTGTACTTGCATACAACCATACACACATACACATACACATGCACGTACACGTACACATACACACGTACATATACATATGCATATACGTATACAAATACATATATACATATGAATATACATATAAATATACATATGAAGGTATACATATACATATGCATACTCATACATACACAGACCTCTCTCTCTATATATATATATGTGTGTGTGTGAGGTGACATGGTATTCTATACATGTATATAAATATATATATATATATATATATATATATATATATATATATATACACGTACATGTTATACATAAATGATGCACAGAACTAGGTGTAGAGACAGAGAGAGATATGTATGTGTATAAATACATATATATATATACACTATATATATATATGTATATATATATATATATATCTATATATATATACATGTATAGAGTATAGAGCGACGGAGGGAGGGAGGGAGGGAGGGAGGGAGGGAGGGCGGAGGGAGAATTGTTTTGTCTATCAATTTATCTAAAGGTTGACTTATTTGTGGAGGTGGCCGTTGAAGCGGCCCAGAAATGCTTGCGTGAAGAACTGCAGATGCAGCAAAGAGAAGGGTTCTTCTGGGTTCGATTTGTGGAACGAACCGGGTCCTCCCAAACACCTGCCTCTGTAACCAAACTCAAGGATACTCAAGGTACTTACACCGCTGCACACCTGTATGTTGCATCTCAGCCACACGTAGAACTCCTTGGAAAACCTTGGATGATTGCGAAGGCGGTGAAGTTGCTTCTCTTGGACTGCTTGATGAAGTTCATGCATTCCGCTGCATTCCGTTGTGCAATTCGTTGTTGGGACTCAGTTCTATCGGAACTTCAATTTCAAACACCTTAAACTCAAAGCCCTAAGTGGATTCCTCAACCCTGAACCCTGCACTACGCCCAGAACTATTATGTATTCTGCATACAGAAACAGGGAGCAGTTTCTCGGCAGGGCCAACAGGATCGGACGAATCCACGATGATGACATCGAAGCTGTTCTCCTCTGGCACCAGCTGATCCCGAGAGACATGAGCCAAGCAAATTATGGATTACTGGCCGTCGAAAGTCACAGAAAGTGCCCTCATCAGCAAGATGTCCACGGCTTCGCTGGTGTTCTTCTATTCCTGAAAGTACGATTGTATCAACTGATCCCAGTCAAAAAATGCAAAATCCCCAACCCTAAACACTTAAACCCAAAGAGCTACAGCCCTACATGTGGAAACCGTCAACCCCAAAGCCCTATAGCCTATAGCCTTAACCTGAAAACGCCAAACCCTGTATAAAGCCAGAACTACAGCTGTTAACGGTCAGGCGCCTTCGAAGACTCAGCAAAGGCCACACCTTTCAGGCTTGGGATTATCGCTGGAACGCGCAGCTTCACCGAAGCACCATCCACCACCATCAGGACTGACATTCAGGATCCCGTCTTTAACAATCACGCGAAGCTTTGAGGTGACAAACCTCTGCATCGTGGACACACAAGGCTTGTCGGCAGCACTTCTGGTGAATGTCTCCAACATATATACCAGATGAAAGTCCCGCATTGAAGTACTGCGGGACGGCTACGCGCTTCTTTTGTGCTACACCGCAACAGCAACAGCACTGGTAATGGACACTACCGCATAAAACTGCTCCTGCTCCTGCCCTGCTCCTGCTCCTGCTTCCGCGCCGGCTCCTGATCCTGCTACTGTTGCTGCTGCTACTACTACGACTACTGCTGCTACTGCTAGTGCTTGTGCTAGTGCTACAGCTCTGGAGGATTTGCTTTTGAAGCAATGTGTGGTGCGTGCGCACTTGGGTGTCGTTATTGTCGCCCCACCCCGCCCCACCCTCGCCCCGGCAACTTGATTACACCGAACGACTGGCTCGCCATTGCAAACTTGACAGAGGAGAAACTGCCGAACCAAGGTGGTAGGAAAGTACGAAAACACAGTAATCGCGTGAAACAGAGGTCTTGGCACGTAAGAAGGTCGAAGTGCTTGTTGTAGGTAGGGCGATCACTGCTGCTACTGCTACTGCTACTGCTACTGCTACTGCTACTGCTACTGCTACTACTACTACTACTACAATTCCCGCCACCGCTTTCACTACGACGATGACACCTACTGCCACCAATCCCCCAATTTGCCACTCAGATCTGGCAAAAACTCAAGCATCGAAGAAGTCAGCAGAAAACGTGGCTGTCGGCACCGTCGCCGACGAGCAGCTCGGTTTTCGGATTACCTCAAGTTGAAAGGTTGCCAGAAGGGTATTTTGCACTTATGCGACTTTCAGGGCCCATGGAGGCAAAACTCCAAATCTTGCACCGCACGGTAAAGCATTGTTGGATGCAGATACGACATGGCGAGACATGATACAGGGGACTTAGTAATTGAAGAATATTATAGTACAATGGGCCCCAAAACACGGCTCAGAACACAGCCAACAGCGCCTGATTGCTGTAGGCCCTAGGCCCCCATGCCATGGCCCCACGGGGAAGGGGGTCGCCGAGCAGAACAAAGGCTCGTTTGGAGAGGGCGTCTGGATCATCAAACCGAAAGCTTGCAACTACTGCAAGTCTTGCGGTGGTGGGTTGTGCAGAGCTTGCTGCCGGGCACTCTTTCTTGTACATCGGCAGCCTTGGGCAGCTCTTCACCAGTCATGCCTACCAGACACGCAGGGCAGCTCGTCAGAGGCAGATGACGTGCATCAACTTGCCGGTCCGGGGCAATGCCTATACTGGACTCGTGGAATACATATTTATGAGCATGCCCATAGTTTCCAAGAAACGTTGGACAGTTTTCGTGGAACCTTCGCGCGTGGACGAGGCTTGTGAGCTCGATGAGGGCAACAATGGCCCCCGCGGTGCGGTGCCTACTACAGAATACTCGCGCGACCACCGCAGCATCCCAAGTTGAAGCGGGATCGCGGTCAGTACTATGCTAGCCTTGCGAATCCAGCTCTGCATTGGCTATCTCTCGATTCGGCGGCTGTGGACGACAATGCCGTCGGCATGTTATCGTGCACGACGCAAGCCAAGTTCGAGGAAATGGCAATCAACGCAATGTAACCGGACGTCAAAGAAGTTTTATTCCGGTCTGGTTTTGAGCTAGTGCTCCATGTGTGTACGCGATTTTACGCAGTCACTGCACATGGTAGTGATGGGCACAGCTGCGCTTGAGCGTCAGCGGTGCGGGGCGTGCAGCTTGCAGTTTGCCCCTCCCTCCCCCCTTGAGGAATATGCTCAAGCTGAAGTTTCTTTTTGTTTGCTTCGGGCTTGCATGTGCATGCGCGCACAGCCTGTGATCATGTTAGCGGGTTCGGCTGCTGTCTATGATCCTTCTCTCCATGAACGGGTCTCATCTAGAGCTTTTGTGGTGTGTTGGGACGGCTTTTGCGCTTGAAGGTGCGAAGCACTTGCCTCAGGCTCCCGGTTAAATCCCTCACGCAAATCAGGTGAGTGCACACTATGGATGCTTTTTCCACAAATTTCTGCGCCACCTTGCCTCAGAAAATTGATACAGTGCATTATGTGCGTTCGAATCGGACTCTTCATCTCACAGAAAGAAAAGGTCCCCAAAAGCCTATTCAAATCATTAAGGCCCCTACATTATGGTCATTTATGGATCCCTTATAGTATCTATTATCTGTTAAAGGAGCCCTATTCTGATCATTAAGGTAAACTGGTAAACTGGAAAGGCCATGGCAGCCCAAGTGCTGACGGCAATGGCCACGTTAGGCATGTACTTCTTTGCTGCCTCCACCACATCGCCGTCAATTTCGCACCAAGTCACCTGGGAGCTTCCGAAAAGTAGGGGTACGCTGAAGGGCTCCCTTGAAGGGGTCCTTAAAGGGATCTATAAGGGTTCTATAATGGGGAGTATTGTGGGAGTTTCCGAAATTAGGGGTACCTTATGTTGGGGTCCTATATATGAATATATATGGAGCCTACTATCCAGGGTATTATATTAGGGTCCCCTACTTTCGGAAACTCCCATGTACCTTATGTTGGGGTCTTGTTTTAAAGGGACTCTTAGACGCACCATATGACATGGCCTTCTCCACAGTGTCATGCTTCACCACTTCGCGAAGGACGCCTCCATCCCCACCTCCAATGATGAGAACCTGCGGGGACGTTTGCCAATTTTGACTCAATATAGGATATGTAGGGATGCAGGGTGGGGGCTCGGGCGCACGTGTGTAGGCTTCTCCGCGGAGAACATGGGCAGGTGCGCCAGCATCTCCTGATATGACATTTCCTCGGCTGCTGCATTTCCGAAGTTGCAACTCCGTGCGGCAAGAAGTGTTGTGAATGAACATTGAGGATACCAGTGGATCCAAAACTGGTGGTCGCAACCATACGCCTGGAGAGTGGCCAAAGCGAAATTACAGAATCGAACTCAGAACACCTTTGCCGCCAAGCCTGCTCGACAAGCCTAAAACATAGCAGTCAAGATGCATCACGCTCTGTGATTTGTATAACTCCATCCTGACATGCTTTGCGTATCGGATCCATGCAGGTGGAGCAACTTTCTCACAGCAGACAGCAAGCAGGCCAGTACGATCACGTTGCCGTGCTTCGCAGATGCCTCGTGTTCGGCCACGGACAGCGGGCGGAAGAGTCCACAAAGTTCGGATGCAGCTCTGTACATTGCGTGTCAAGCTCGAGAACATGGTGCCGCCAAAGAACGAACACCAGTAGATCTTGGAATTTGGTCTTTTTGTGCAGAAGTACCTCTTTCACCTGATGCGGAGACGTGGTACACGAAAACGAACAAAGGCACAGAGGAGTGGGAACCACTTAGCGGTCAGAAGATGGCCTCCAGTGCGTTGGCTTGACCGGGCCTGCAACACTGTGGAGGAGCATTGTGGCTTGTGACATCATGCGCATTTTATTAACATGTGGATTTGGGGACCGACCACTGTGCGTTCTTCTCGATGAACCACCCATTCTCAATCAGGCTGACCTTGTGCAAGCAGAAGAACTGACACAGGTTGGTCAGCAAGTCATTTGTGTCATTTCGACAGATGCACAGTCCCAGCCAGACCAAGGGACACTGTGACTACATGCAGTGAATAAGGGACTGAGACGTGTACACCCTGCAGCGGCGCCGACTCAGTCATGGCTCAAGGACCACCTCTCGGTTATGCGACTTTTTTGAGCTGTCCCTGAAGACAGCGTCGTTTAGCTGCTCTGTCAAGTGCGGTAGTGGCATGGATGCTTCGATAGAAGATACTCTCATCAGAGAGTAACCACATCCCAGACCCCATGCAGGCCCTAAACAGTTCTAGGTTTTCGGTCGATGCAGATGCAGATGCCGCCCTCAAGCTCCAAGGCGTTAAGCAGTGTCCAAGGGGGCTTCCGTGAGCAGCAAAGCGAACGTTCATGCAAATTCAAGCTGTCCAGCTCAGAGGGTTTAGGGCTTTGTGTTTTGGGCTTACGGTTCATGGGGGGTTCGGGGTTTGGGTTTAGGGTTAGGGGATTTGGTCAGTAAGAGGGCGCAGCCATCAATATGCCTGCTAACTATACCGCTCATGATCTTTCGGAATTGGGATCCTCTGCTCCCACCATGGCACCAGAATGCAGATACCCAGCGAGCGCAGAACATTGTATTCCTCAACACGGGAGTCAGTAAACAACTGCAGAAGCACTGTGCAACGGCACCTTTTTTTACGGTTAAAGCGATTTCTGCGTCCCGCAGCCTTACCATCAAGGGGCGCTGATTCCGCAGCTTCGGAAGTTGGTTCTGCTGTCGTCGCTTTTGTCGCTGCCACTGGTTCCACAGGCTCCGCCTTTGCAGAACACATGTTGGGTAACAACATGGGAAGGGTCTGCCTGTGCCCCCACCCATCCTACAGCTCAAGGCCCAATGCATAATCAGCCGAAAACATACAGCAGAATCTACAGCAATTATATAATAATAGTATATTATAGCATATATTATAGTATGCTATAATATATAATAGTCGATTATAGTATATATTATTGTATTTTATAGTATAGCTATTGCTGGCGGAGCTTTCGGGAAAAGCGCCGCCTTCTCCTGACTGCACTCTTGCGAGTCGGCATCGTCAGCCTCGTGTGCATGCCGGTCAGATAATACACACCGTAGCATACAAGCAACATGTACATATACATACACGCATGAATGTATGCATGTATATGCAATCATTCATGTATACACATATCATGCAGACGGTCAGCTGCCAAGGCCCCGACATGTCTCTGCCCGGCAGCAACTGCCTTCGGGTCGCAAACGCACACCTCTTCCGAAGAATCCCACATGTAACGTAACATGCCATGTTCAAACATACATATATAAGTACTTATAGAAATAAGTGTGTATATATATATATATATATATACACATGTATGTATGTATGCATGCATGTATGTACAAGTGTAGGTACAGGTATATGTAGATCTATACCTAACGTATATGTATCAGTACAATATGAACATACACGTAGATATAAATATATATATATATATATACATGTATATATACACACACAAACACACACACAGGCATCTATCTACATATTTACGGCCCACCCCTCAGGTCATGCGGGCGCGCATCTTGCAACATGCTTCGAACTCTCGAGACATCTCTGCGGCCTTGAGCTTCTGCAACATCTGCATGGCCTGCTGCCAGCAATGCCACAGCGGCCACAGCGTAATGCTCTGCCAGGCTATGCCTCTTCGTGATTCTCGTAGCTGTCGGCGATCAAGTCCATCAGAGTGGACACCTTACGAAATAGCAAGATATTTAGCGCGAGACAGATAGATATTGCAGTAAAACATAATCATGGATGTGGACCTAGCTACTGCTATAACCAATGCCATGGCTATGGATGTAGACATGGACAGAGGCACAGAAACAAACCTGTAGCTAGATAGATAGGTAGGGAGGTAGGTAGGCAGGCAGATTAGGTAGAGAGACAGTCAGAGATGGATAGCTACAAAGATAGACAAACATGGCAGATAGATAACTAGATAAATAGTTCGACAGGTGTATCGATAGACAGAGAGATAGACACAGGCATACGTACATAGATAGATAGCTAGACAGATAGATAGATAGGTAGACGGATGGGTACATAGGTTAGATGGATAGATACGAACTCTAGATATAGGCTTGTACGTATAAACTGACGAAGTATAAGCCTATAACATATGTGAGTATACGTAAAGATGACGTGAACATACATGTGTGTGGGTGCAGATTTTACGCGCTTCTTCTGGAGCGTCGAGTTCTGGCATGCAGACAACATAGAAATCTCGGGGTCGAGCACCGTCCTTGAACTCTGCGTACTTCTCTTTGCCCATCTTCAAACGCTGTTGAACGTCATGCCTTCGCAGTCTCAGGGTTGAGGGTTCAGTGCTTATACTATATATTTCCGTGGTGGTACGTTGAGAAACGAGCACTAAGCAGCATGCAGCAAGCTTCCCCGATCATGCGCCATGAACAAATCTCCGATAGCCTCAGGGAAGCAGTAGGAACAACCTCTGGCAATGGCTGCATCAACAACGAAAGTTGAGGGCGAAGCCACGTTGGAATGCTGCTTTCCACCAGGGAGCCTAACCTTGAGGTAGGCATGCGACTTCTGCGACCTGACACAACCAGGAGCCGGATAATATAGGGGCCTTAAGAATTAGAATAGGGTTTTGGGGCACATTACTTACACTATCCTTATAACAAGGAACACCCCAAAATAGTATTGGTAATTGTTCAGGCCCCTACTATAGTACTTGAGGCTTGAGGCTGCGACAAACGACCTTGCTCGAAGCTTCTGGGAAAGCCTGCTGCTTTGCATCTAGAATCTAGAAACTTCAAGGCCGTCCAGTGCTTGGCAGATGAGGACACCAAACCCGATCCACTACTCTTGTTCCAGAAACCTGCATCCCAAACTAACCCTGCACCCAAAGCCCCTAAACCGTCAAGGCCCGAAATCTTGTCGAAGATCCCGAAGCAAAGGGCGATTCCCAGCAGTGTTGAGGCTCGGACAGAATGCTCTGCATCTCACGAGCAACTCCCGGTTTGATACCATCAGGACCACCGAGGAGTAGAATCACTGACTCGATGTCCTGACAGCCCAACGGGTCCAAGTACCATCATGGTATATAGGGTCTAAGTATATACCATAACAATACTTGGACCCTTTGGGCAGGTGGGCTTATCTGTCGACGATCCGCCCCCGAGTCATAAAAGACGCACCTGCCCGGCCGTCGCAGGCTTCGGGTGGTTCAAGAGCTCATCTCCCGAGCCATCCAAATGCACAACCACGCACCTGAACTTGAGCTACTGTTGCCTAAACTTGCTCGCAATCCACCGCAGCGCGCATCTTCAACACTGAAAGACGAACCAAGCACAACAAACCAAGACGCAGTTCTAGCTGCTCTAACCTCAAAGATACATTCCTCTTCTGTGATCCCCTGTAACCCGACGCCTACACCCCAAACCCACTGCCCGTAACCCTAAGCCGAGCTCTCCGAGCGCCGGACTTCTTGCCATTCTTCTGTGCCCGTGACTTGAGGACACCAGCCTGCCACCATAGCCAGCTCTGCCAGGTCACGTCATAGCCTGTCGGCTCGTGGGCTGCTTAGTACTTAATACGAGTATATCGGGATTTTACTAGGTTTGGGGTTTCGACATGTTGGACAAAGTGCGTGTATGCTGATGCAAAGGTGTTCGTCGTAAACAGACATGGATGACCAACCAAGCAAAAAACATCTACGCACACAAACACACGTCTTTACCCACTTACTTGCCATGCGTACCAGAGATGTCATGGAATGGCAAATCTTTGCAAAATAAGCATTTGGACCTTTCTACTGCGAAACTTGTCTGTCCGCACACATGTCTCGAAGCAAAACGTAAACCTTTCTGCGCACATGTGTCTCTGGGATGGGTGGTGGGGTAAATGGGTGGGCGGTTTGGGGGGTGACTGGTGGATGGGGGAGTGGGTGGGTGGATGGGTGGGGTGTTGGCGGGGCGGGGGCAGGGTGAGTCTGGGAGTTGCATGGGTAGCATGTATATCGCAAAGTAGGTACAGCAGGGACTATCCGCAACGTGTATATCTAATGAAGAGAAATCACAAACCCGCGGCAGCAGTGCACCCGGCCTAAGTTTTGCACAGATACCTCGGCGGGTCTCACGCACACTGTAGCTACGTGTGTCACGACAGTACAGATCTCAGATCTGCACGCCAGGCTCAAGCTTCTGTGGGGTGCCTGCCAGTAACTGCCGGGAAGTGCCCGACTCTTGCAGTCCACCCCAAGCCCTACATGACCCTCACCGCCGATTCAAGACCATTCTTTACTGAAAGTCATGAAATATAGTACAACTTGGAAGTAAATATCACAAACAACCGAAGTAGACAGGCACAGTCATGTATAAGTGACATGAAGCAAGACGTGTCACAAGAAGAAGCGCCGTCCTCACACTATAACCATCAACCCTAAAGCCTAGGCAGCAAGGCCTTGGTAGATGGACATGGCCGTGCCGAGAACCACTGCCTCGGTCAGGGCCTGGTCCGTACGGGTTTCCGACGAGCATAACCACGATGTAGGGTTTGTATAGTTTTTTACATGCATAAAAAACTACGCTGATTTAGGTTTAGGGGTGGTATCGGATTAGCAGGGGAGTTTCCATCAGGAGCACAGTATCATAGACTAGTTTCATATGGGCTAATTTAAGGTTGCGGGCTTTGACCGTGGCTTCAAGGTTTTGGGGTGCTAGGGGCTTCGGACTAAGGGTGTGGGGTGTGGGGTTTAGCTATGGATTGGACGAGGCTCAGCAGCCGTCTGGAACAACGACGAGGCCAAACGAGTGACATCCCGGAATGTAACATCCAGAATGTGCTCAAGCTTCGTACAGCCTTCGTCCTCTTCTTGGACAGGTATGCCGCAAACTTCGGCAGGTTGTAGGATACGATTGTCCCTGGCATCAAAAGCCCTCAGCTCTACGACTGTCCCTAGGACGAGAAGTCGATACTACAAGGGTACGAAAGAAGTGCTGTAAGGACAATGACAAACACATAAGCTTAGGCATATGACAAAAGCATTTTCGGGTCTTACCGGATTTACAGTCGGCTTACAGGACTTCAACTCCGTTAGTGTCTGTTGGAAAGATGACCTGACAGTCTGCGCGGCGCACTCTCTTGCACCACGTCAATCGAAATTGAAGTGAACAACATGCAAGTGCCGAGCAGTCAGAACAGCTCTTAAGCTGCTCGATTTATTACAGATATTCCTCGAACGACAAAATCTGCAAATGTGGAACTGCAGTCGACTGGTTGAACAAGTCTGTGCTGTGTAGGCCATGAAGCTACCAACCAGGCTGCAGGAATTGTGGGGGCAGTGGGAAAAACCCCGCCCCCCCACGGACGCTTCATGCCCACCTCTCTGCCTTCCACCACGAATGCTCGGCAGAAACCCTAAACCCTACCCCTGTTTGGTTATCCCAGTAGAACCCCCATACCTACAGCACCCTTGTAGCACCCGCAAAAAAAACCCTGCATTACCCTTGTAGTATCCTTCCGGAATCCTCATAGTTATCCCCAGAATACCTGTCTAGTACGCCAATAAATGCCCCTATAGTATCACCTGTGGTTTTCCCCAGTGATACCCCTATACTACCTGAATAAATTACCCCTGGAGTTCCATTACAGTAGCCTGGCAGTACCCTCAAAAAAGCCGTACAGTACCCGCATAGCTACCCAGAGGCTGCATAGTAGCTCCTTTTGGTGGTTCATATTTTGACTCCTATGAGGTAGTCCCAAAAAGGAACTACTATGGAGCCTTAGGGTATCTGTAAGTCTGTAAAACAGAGCCGGGCCGCAGGGGGAAACGCACCAGAACTCCGCGACCTCCTCACGGAAGATCTCCCCTTCCTGTCATATGGGTAGTGGTCAAAATCAGGGTCCCTTTTTGGGTGCCCTAAATATTACGTGCCGTATTATATCAAGGACCCCCAAAGGGACCATCATTTTGATAACACACATATGGAACAGCTTAGCATGATTTCGTAATAGTTCGTATAACTGCACAAGAAAGTATAACATTACACACTCTAACATAAACATGGCGAAGCATCGCTATAGTGTTGTAATGCTGTTTAACGGAACACAGCTTGCGTAATGTAGTAGAATGTATTGCAAAATGTAGCAAAATATGTGGTAAAGTATAGTCTCATACAGTACCACACTATGAAGCGGGGAACTGGAGCTAGGGTTAGCCAGCCAGCGGGTGCTTGTTGCAGATCCTTCGACTACGAAACCTATAGACACAGTTTCACGAACATCACACCGACATGTGGCCAGAACATCTTTGCTGGGGGACCCAACAAAACAAGACGTATTAAACAAGTCAAAATGTAAAATGCAATCAACGGCGCCACATGACGTGTTCAGCATTGGCTCTGGATTGTAGCTGATGTCCCATGCGTGGAAGCCCTGCAACGACAAGCAAAAGCCAGCTCAAAGGCTCAAAGTGCTGAAGGCTAGCATGGCACGGGCGCTTGCACTATCCTTCCCACCATGGTCATCACTATCAGCTTGATGGTCTAGAAACCCCAAGCTGGGAAACTCTGGAACCTGCATCTCGACAGCCAGGGCCCTGCTAAGAGCGCAGCACATCTTGTAAATCCTACGACCCTTTAACTCCCAAATCCTCACAACGGACCTCAGAGCTCAGCTACATGTGCATCGAAGATTTGTCGTGGAATGCAATCCTCCTTAATAGATTGCCCTTTTTTACCGAGCACATCTCTTGGATGTGCATGGATATTTTGACACCCTCATCGAAATTAAGGTCGACACCCTAGATGAGCGATATCGAACTCGCCTTGGTGCACGACCTGAGGCACGCCTGTCGTCTTAGCTTGAGAATGAGGGTCTTCGAAGGTACCGTTTCAGGGTTTAGGGCTGGGGACGCTCTTTAAGACTTTGGGGTGAAGAGGTTGTTCTGCGTAGAGACTAAGTGCTTAGGGCGTCGGGTCTTGGAACTTTGGGTTCCGAGGTCCGAAGTACGGTATTTTTCAAAGGGAAAGGAACACCCTTCATGGGGACCCTTACCCTATAATGGGCCATATAATGGGTATATAATTAATATCTATATTAAGGGTATATCCTTACTCTTCAGGTGATTTAGCTCGTGGAGGACTTCTCCTGCTCCTGACTCCTGCTCAGCTGCCGAGCCCCAAAGCCCTGCTACTACTAGAACTACTAACATTAATATGGGAGCTTCCGAAAATAGGGGACCCGAACATGATACCCTAAATAGTAGGATCCTTATTTTAAGGACCCCAAAATATGGTGCCCCTATTTTCGGAAACTCCCATATAAACATTACTACAGTGCATCCTTACTGCCATCATCCCAGTAGGTCCAGCTTGACTCCGTCCGAGGGGCTACAAACCTGAACTGCTTCTGTCAACTGAGGTTGAAGCCAGTCATACACCACTGGGCGCGCACTACGTGTTAGGTAAACTGTTGTCATTTTGATGCCATTGGTACATTGTGTGTCAGGTACAACCAGCCCTTCCTTATGCCTATCCTGGTTTCAGAACCGTTTCCTTTCCTCCGAGCTTCATGCGGATGAAGTGCTGCTAAAGCTGCTGAGATGGCTTCTCTTTAGTGTTACGGATTCGGGGGCAGTGGTTCGTGGCATGCAGTCGGGGTATTGAGTTTAGACAGATAGGTTTGAGGGAACATGCCATGCAATCCGACACTCTGAAACACCGGTGCTAGAAACATGCATGTCGAAAATGAAATTAGATAGACACCGCCAAGATTTGTACGCTCCACGAAACATGAACAACTCCTACGCTGATGTAGTGATGTGATGCAGTCCAGGTTCTAACATGACTACATCCCGAAACAGAAGCTATGCCTGTACGTTGTCGAGTCGGAATCGCCAGGGATCACGCAGCTTCCCACAAGAACTGCCAGGGAAAGAACACTTCTCCACAAGGCAGCCATCTCATGTCGTGTGGGGGCGCAATGGCGACAAATTGAATTAATACTGCTCCTACTAATTACTACTGCTTCTCCTCCTGTTCTTCCTGCTGCTCCTGCTACTACAACTACTACTACTGCTACCACTGCTGCTGCTGCTACTACTACTACTGCTGCTACTACTACTACTACTACTTCTACTACTACTACTACTACCACGTGCTCGTGCACACACTGGTTAAATGCCGGCGCCAACTACATCTTCTCCGACGGCCGCTCCAAATTATTCGACCCTCTGCACTTGAACACTGTCCACATAACTGAACTGCAACCAATGCCAAGCCTCCACCCGAGAGTCCACAAAAATCACAAAATTAGTACAACACATTGTGACACGCGAGTCCCCAAACTCTACACGATGAACCCGGCAGGCCTACCACCCTCAAACAGCGTCCTAAACTGCCAAGCCCTCTCCTGCAGGATTTCAAGCTGCTGAAGTCGATGCCATCGTGATCTTTGCCCTCCCAGTAGAAGACGTAAAACTTCGTCCTGGAGACGGAAGGGTGATGCATGTATGTACGCATGTATGTGTATGTATGTGTAGCCCGTGAAGGATCGGAGAGCGATGACGGGTTATTGAATTGCGTGTCAGATGCAAGCACCGTTGCATGACGGCATCCCGCAACTGGATCTCACTCTGCGAGGCTTTTCTGAGGAGGATCAAGCAGGAAGTAGGTGCGGGGCTTGATTTGACGACGTTCGCACGTCTATGCAGCACACAAGTCAATGAAGCAACATAAGCTCGGAGTCGCAAGTCAATCTTGCCATACTTGCACGAACCTACGATGGCGACGATGTGTGCCTGTATATGCATATGCATATGTCTGTGTTCCTGTCTATATGTATGTATGCGCATATACACTTACGCATACATATATATATATGTATATATATATATAACGGACTTCTATATACCGTGCTAAACGCCCACACCGCATACGAATCTGTCGTTGTCGTAATTATCGTTGTCGCTGGTGTCGCTGTGGTCGCGACTTGTTCTTCAGATGCTGTTGTTGACCATTACCGTCTTCCTGTAGATGATGATGATGATGAGGAGGACGAGGAGGAGGACGATAATGATGACGATGATGCTGATAAGAACAGTAGTCACACCAATGAAGCTTGCGACGATGCTCTTGTCGTTGCTGTTGCTGCTGTCGCATATTGCCGTAGTGGTAGTGAAAACTGCGTTGCTGTCGCCGCTTGTGGTGCCAGAGATGCCATTTCCGGTGTAGCAGGTCGATTCCAGTGATCATGCCAAGCACATGCAAGGCCACGATATTCAACCGCACAGAAGTTGACTCCAAAGGAGAAAGCAAGCAACCGGCCTGGGAGGCATGCCATCATATGGGCTCATGGATGTGGAGCTGGACCGATGAACTTGCAGAGTTCTGTAGCCGCTGCGGGTCTTAGGGCTGCCAGGACGGCTTTGGTATTGTCTCGGCTCTTGCATAAACACTAGACATCCTAGCTCCGAATCAAGCCTCACGCCACACATGTATGCTTGAGGATAGCTTTTACGGACCCACAAACTCAAGCATATGACCAGTAGAGCATTGTGATTCGGCTCCTTCGAGGCCTCCTAAGCCTGGTGGAGCCTTGACTTAAAACCTGGCAGCAGTAGAGAGCCAGTGCAAGCAATGACTAGAGCCACCAGCTCAGCTCGAAGCATCTCTAAGGGATCGTGGTTGAAGGCGGTGGGGAAGTTGGCGCTTCAGGTTTCGCATGCAGGGTTTATGGGCTTCAGGGTCTGGGGAATGAATCAAGTGGGGCAGAGAAAATGTCCTTGCTGCAGTCTGGTTTTTAAGTCTTTGGCATGTCGATAGCTGCGCGGAACACTGGTGAGCTTTGCCACTGATGCGATGACGCTGCCTGAAATCCTGCATCAACCGACGCCCCTGAATCTGGCAAGCTTGTAATCTGCTGGTGGGTGCAGGATTCAGAACGTCAGCAATGGGGAGCATCTCTGGACTCACTTCTGCTCAGGTGGACTTCGATCCTATCCGATGCGCATGCGCAAAAAAAACAAGAAGTGGGTTCCAGCAGGCTGTCCGTGTTCAAATTACACGGGCTCGCAAGCTGGCTCTAAGCCTTGCGAGCTAAGCGTCTCACCAGTCCTGTTTCCTGTGTGCCAGAAATTAGCAGAGACTGGCGAGACGACGCAACGGGGACTTCTGCCACTTGGCAAAACTAGTGGCTGCCATCCGTCCACCTATCCGGCATATCTTGCAACGCTCTTGCAATGCTGCCCGGACAGAGACAAGGACCCGAAAGCTGGGGAGGCTTCGGCCTGGCATGGCTGCCTCGATAATATTTGTGCTTCCGCGGAAGCAATCGTGTGAGACAGTGGGGACGAACTTTGCCTGCAAGAAGCGGCCACAGCGCGTCTTCAGTACCTTAGGCTGAGGTCGGACAAATAACTACTGCGCCCTTTCCCCAATGAAATGCTTGACACTTTCTGCTTCCTCCGGTTTGACGCTTGGCACTTCGTAGGTGCCCGGCGGCGAGAAACCTGAGAAACAGAAATGTCAACAGCTGGGAGGAAGCTACGGCCGGTCCGGACTTTATTAAAACTCGTGTTACCTATCGTGTTCGTAACTGTACTGTATGTGAATATTCGCGCTACGATTGTGGTCATAATTGCGACTACGTACTACAACCACCACTACTATACTACTACTGCTGCTGCTGCTACTACTACTGCTACTCCTACTACTACCACTACCACTACCACTACCACTACCACACTACCACACTACCACACTACCACATTATTACACTACCACACTACCACACTACCACTACTACCAGCACCACGACGACTAGTACGACTATCTGTATTACTACTACTGTGGCTACAACTATTCTGCTGATTTTGTAACTACTAGTAGTAGCAGTCGTCGTCGTCGTGACTGTGGTGGTGGGGGTGGTAGTAGTCCTCGTCATCGTCGTAGTCGCAGTTGTGGTAGCACTAGTGGTACTGGTGGTGGTGGTAGTAGTACCAATAGTGGTAGAAGTAGTAGTAGTAGTAGTAGTAGTAGTAGTAGCAGCAGCAGCAGTAGCAGCAGTGCATCGATGTTGCGATGTTTTGGTACTTTGTCGCATTGGTGTCTTAGTCTGTTAAGTCTGGTAGTGTATGAGTAGACTAGTATCTCAGTACCAAATTAATTAGCTAGTCTGTATTCTTTGCATCAGAAATTTAACAAAATGTTGTCGCAGCAGGAGAACTCGTGTTTGCGGAGGAATGCAGACAGGGAGCGACTTTGCACAACTTGCTTGGCATGCGCATTGAGCATCTCAGCAGAAACTTCTACAGGTGCTCCAGCAACGCCATTCACTGCAGGGACCCCATTGGCAGCATCAGCTCCGTTGACTGCGGCGACTCCGTTGACTCCGGCAAGCCCATTGACTCCGGCAACTTCGGCACCTTCCGCTTACAGTATGAGTAAATGTCTATGAGACTGTTCAGAGATAGAGCCGCAGTCGCAGCTTAGTGCTTCCGCCTGGGACTTCGGGCACGGGCATGCCGATCTCTTCTGGGCCATGGGCAAAATTACAGGCAACGCCTTTCGTGCACCTGCCTTCCCTCGGCTGTCCGGCAATGCATGCTGCAGTTGCCCTTGATGCATGCACACGACCCGAATCATCGCATAGTGCTGCCCAGCATCATGTGGAACTTGCACATGGCCGTCTTTATTTTACCTAAGCTAAAGGCTTTCCTTTCTGAGTCATGCGAAGCCTGAAAGCAAAACAGAAGCGGCCAGTCGTGCAATGCGCAACCATGAACTACGACTCCCTCAGCCGTCGAGGCCAAACCAAGAAACATGATCCCCCGGACAATGAACCAATCACATCGGAGTGAGAGCAATGTCTAAAACAGAGACAGCACATACAGCAGCAGTATTGAATGTCGTCATATACGAACGGTATCATCGCAGCATGCCTTCCGAGTGCGTATTTCGTAGTTCGTACGCGTCCCTGAACCCTCAGAAGCCCGACTCAGTTCAGCCTTGCGGCTGGCACCACCCGCGCCCTTGCACTCTGAGTCTGGCCTGTGAGGATTACACGAGTTATTCAGTGATTTTGCCCGATGTGCACTGCAGTGAAGACAAAGACTGAGCCAGACAGGGGGGCCGCAGTCAGCGAACCTTTTTGGGACCTACTTTATGGTCGGACATTTGAAGAAAAAGCATTTGGCAATCAACGTAACAAGTGCGGTACAATTCAGGCTCTGAGCGGGTGCGTTAGTTGGGTGCTCGGGTACCTGTAGCTATGTAGCTGTGCAATGCACTGGAGACTTTATGTGTACCTTCGTGCAATATGCTTAAGGGCTTCTTGAAAAACAAGGTCTCCTACAAGGGTCCATGTATAGCATATACTTTGGGCTCAATGTACCTAATTGTACCTATATAACTAGGGAGTACTTTAAGGCCAATGTATATACTATATGAGTACATGGACCCTTAAGGAAATCTCCAGCCCCAAATAGAACAGGGTCCGGCCTGCACTGGTACTGTCCAGGGGCCACTTCGATCATCTCAGTTTGTCGCGTGTTCGCGGTCAACGCACGTTGCTCGTGACTGCCTAAGCCTCTCTGAAGCGCGCCTCTACGCGCAAACAAATTGATATGTAAAGGTATATGTCTGTCTATATATGTGCATATACATACATATGTAGCGACATATCTGCGTGTGTATATATATATATGTATGTATACATATATATATATATATATATACATATAAATATACACATATATATATATATATATATTTTTTATATATATGTGCATTTCTAAGTCTAAGTATATACATTGTCTGTACATACAGCACATACATTGCATACCTACCCCACAAACCCCAACTGAAACCTCTTGCCCAAAAAGTACCTCTGACAAAAAGGTTTAAGGGTACCACCGGGGCACCCAGTATATATATATATATATCATATATACATACATATTACGTATATATATATATATATATATATATATATACTTCTATTATATGCACAGGCATGCGTACGTACATACATAAGTACATAATACCTGCATGCATGCATACATACATATGCAAAAGTGATGACGTACAGCTGCTCAAGCCGACATGCCTAAACGCCATGCACACATCCTTGCCCATCAGCTCCAAATCCTCCACTGCGACATCTGCAAACCTACCGCAAGTAGCGAGTTCGAACGACTCTTAGCCCTGCAGGCATTGCAGATCGTCACGACATGATCAGAAAACCTGCAAACATGTGAAAGCCCTAGCCCCCAAAACCCCAAAACGCGTCAAGAGGTCGGTGAAGCCTTTGACCATAAATCATGCCGTGATGCTGCACTTGCACTTCTGTTCTTGTGGTGGACGCAGCACAGAAAGGTGCCTCTTTGAGGCTTGACTCACAGTTGAAGCAGGACTCGAAAAGACAAAGCCTTTGTTGGCATTTGTTGGAGTCTGCCTCCACCCTTGACGTTGCCGTAGCCACCGTAGCCTTTCGATTTGCCTCAGATTCAATCCGCTGTGGGATGTCAAAGGGAAAAGCCCTTTCTTGCTGACCTCTGAGTCCCGGGCCTTTGCCCATCATGCCCTTGGCTTGCATCATCTGCATCCCTTTCGACATCCACCCCTTGGAATTCAGAGCAAAAGGCCAAGTCTTGCAAGCTGGCAGCCTGCCAGGGCTCTCCTTTAAGAATAGAGTGGAAGGGTTTGTCTTTCCAGCCAAGTAGCATTTTTGCCGTAGGCACCGTAGCCTCCCCAGCTGTCCCATCCTTGGGCAGCGTCCCAGCCTTGTCCATCATCCCAGCCTTGACTAGCGTCCCAGCCTTGGCTAGGGTCCTGAAGATGCGTGTGAAAGACTGCGAAAAGCCGCCGAATCCAACGCGACTATCACGGAGTATTAGTTTTGATAGGTAATATTGGTATTAGTATTAGTACTATTATTATTGCTAGTATTAGCATTAATATTCATATTAATATTAAAGTCCTGAGCCCATCCTTTGCCGCCTTTGCCTTTGCCTTTGCCCCAGCCATTGTCTCCAGTAGCCATGGCTGCTGCTATTGCATTGGGATCATGAGAGAAGTTACCTCAGCTGTGAGAGCAGGGCCACCGTTTAGGGTTTAGGGTTCGGGAGGTCATCATCGAGGTTTGTACGGCATTGCTGCTGGCCGAAGCCATCGGATGGCTGCCGCAGAGTTGCAATTCTCTCCTTTGGTACACTTCCCGGCCTGTCAGTGACAGCTGGTCTCGATGCTTCTTGATCTAGTGACGTATGTAGTCACCTGCGAGGTGTGCAAGGCAGTGCGCAATGCCTGCCAGAAGGTGCAGGGCACGTGCTTCGTGTTGCCAGTGACCTCGTTCCACAAACATGCACAGTAATGCAGTCAAGGTCGCGTATCAACTGTACAATCCAGGGCATGACATGGAGGCTGGAGAATATGGCAGTTCTAGTGGAACTGAAACTATGAAGCAAGAGAACTCATGCACGACCACATCAGCAACAGTGTGATAGAGACGTTAGTGCTGACGAGTTTGATTGCTTAACTACACGACAATCAACCATTCGTTCCTGTCTTCTTGCGTGCTCTGTCAATGACCTGGCCTTGCACTCCTTGCCTGGCTGGCAGACGAAACCGCCGGCTCCGTCGTCCATCATCGCATCCTCAATATGTCGGTGCTTTTCGTGACATCTGCTCGCGCTTTGCTGCCGGATCTGCTGAGGCTATGACTCTGCTGCGCTTCTTGCCGTGGACGGAGCAAACAACTGCATCAAAGAAGGCACGCTACAGAATTGCCCTCATGCCTAAGGCCCTTCTCCACCCCTTTCTTCACAAGAAGTTGTGGAGACCGGCCTGTCTCGTTGTTATAGCCCATCATGAAGGGCGGCATCATCATGGCGTACCTGTACTAGAGTTGAGTACAGGCATAGAGCATCCACCTTTTTGACAGCAATGACTGCACCGTCTGTCTATCGATCTGCATGCGTCTCTCTCTCTCTCTCTCTCTCTCTCTCTCTCTCTCTCTCTTTCTCTCTCTCTCTCTCTCTCTCTCTCTCTCTCTCTATATATATATATATACACATATCTGTATGTATGTTTGCATGTGCGCATATGCATAAATGCATGCATATATATATATATGTATGTATATGTATATATACACACAAATATATGAATATAATATGATATAATATAATATAATATTAATATTATATTATATTATATTATATTATATTATATTATATTATATTATATATTAAAAGATAAGATAACATAAGATAAGATAACATAATATAGTATAGTATAATATAATATAATATAATATAACATAACATAATAGAATATAATATTATATTATATACCCTATACATCAGCCACAGAGAAAACCGGGAATCACATGGAATTTTCCAGCGAAATGCGACCTATTGGTATTTTCCTGCGAAGCCACATGCTTGAACATGCCTCCAAAAACCCGGCGGAGAACCCAGCGGAATCCATTGCAAAAACCCAGCGAAACCCATTAGAGAAACCCAGCGAAAAAACGGCAGCAAACCTGTGAAAACCTGTGAAGACCTGTGAAGACTTGTGAAAACCTGTGAAGACCTGTGACGACCTGTGAAAACCTGTGAAAATTTGTGAAGACCTGTGAAGACCTGTGAACACCTGTGAAGACCTGTGAAAACGTGTGAAAACCTGTGAAAACCTGTGAAAACCTGTGAAGACCTGTGAAGACCTGTGAAGACATGTGAAAACCTGTGAAGACCTGTGAAGACTTGTGAAAACCTGTGAAAACGTGTGAAAACCTGTCAAAACCTGTGAATGGGACTTTTTGTGAAAACCCGGCGAAGAGCGATTGAAAACCCAGCGAAGAGCATTGTCAAAACCCAGCGAAAGCCACATTGAAAACCCAGCGAGGAACCCCAAGGCCTGGATGGCATGAAGTATGGGAATCGATGGAAACTTTCCAGCGCAATGGATATTTTCCAGCGGGGCAGATTCACATGGTATTACCCAGCGAAAGAGCTATGTTTTTCCAGCGGGCGATGGTTAGGGTATTAAAAGATAAGATAACATAAGATAAGATAACATAATATAGTATAGTATAATATAACAGAACATAATATAATATAATATATTATAATATAATATAATATAATATAATATAATATAACATAACATAACATAACATAATATAATATAATATAATATATTATAATATAATATAATATAATATGATATAATATAATAAAGCATAATATAATATAATATATTATACCATAATATAATATAACATAATATAATATAATATAATATGATCTAATATAATATAATATAATGTAATATAATATTGTATATATATATATATATGTATCATGTCGATTAGTCCATGTATCTTACTGGGTTGTTTGCCACTGTCTCTGGCCAACGACGACGGCATTTTCCGCACACCAGGAACAAGGACGAGAACACAAGTGATGATGATGATGATGATGATCATGATGGTGGTGGTGGTGGTGGTGGTGAGGATGCGCATGATGGTGATGATGAGGATTACGACGATCGTCAAGGTGGTGAAGGCGGTTATGATTGCAGTGGCCGTCACTGCAAGTCAGGATGTCCTGCTAGCGATGACCTAGGATGAGAGCAAAAGCAAAACATACAAGCCAGTATAAACAGTCGTCACAAGCAGCAGTAAATTCAAAGTGGGTAACGATGTAACGATGATAACAAACGCTCGGAAACTGCAAAACCCCTGCAGCCTGGCTTAATCCTCTTAATGAGTTAACACCGCGCCCTGCCTCCGAAGCACAGGCAAGGCCTGAGATTCAAGGCTCGAAAGGTGGCGCTCACATCCAAGCTCCTGGCGGTCCTTCTTGAGCCTTCAACTGCAGAAAATTCGAAGCGGGTTTGTATTTATAAACAACACCCAGACACTGACATGGTATGTGTTGGTATATAAATGCACAGAATTCGAAGTCTGTCTGCGTTGGCAGGAGTATGCCGGTGGACGTGCCACAGCGACGGTGAACTGGCATGCGGCCATGCACATACTCCCCTCGTCCATAAGCCCGTATGGGCTGGGTTTGGGACGGAGTGATCGACGGCGCTTGTGATTAGCACGATCCGGCTGGATTGGCAACAGTATTTTGCGAGACGGCTGCGCTGCTCTCAAAGGGTGAAACACCTGCTGGAGCTAGACAAATCTGATTGGCAATTCGGCTCAAACTGCTCCACAAATGCACACACACAGCCAGCACCAAACCCTGAACCTTAAACCCTAATTAACTTCGATGTTCGAACTGAGATGTTTGACGAGTTCTGCATCGAGCTGATTCTGGCTCTGCTCGGCCTCATCAGAGCAAGCTGGAAGGCCAATTCGCTAGCTTCATAAGAAGAGGAATCTGCGAAACAGAGCGCCCTCGGCACTCAAAACAATGCTGGACTGACTGTACCAGCTGCCAGCTAAGTGCAACTGCAGCAAATTAACAACGAATTCAGCCACGCTGGCTGGTGTGCTCACTACAGCAGCAAGAAATGAGGAAATCGTCCTATCTTTGCCCATGTGGCTGGTTGGTGCAGATATGTGGAAGCTACAAGCCCTGCAAAAAAGCTCAAACCGCTCCTTCTACTAAAGCACTCGAAACCTCAGCCACACTCCATCGCTCCGCTGAGCCCGGAGGTATCCGAGGCCGAGAGATCTTCAGCCCTGCAATGCATCGCGGCCATGACCTTGGCTGACAAGACATGGGAGTGTCCGACAATTCTGTGGTACCTTATTTGGGAGTCCTTATCATAAGGATCCTATGTTGGGGTCCCCTCTTTTGGGAAACCCCCATCTAAGAGTGAGTTCTTCATGTCAGTTTCTAGGCAATCGCATGGGCTGTGCCACTATTTCGCGGAAGTTATCTAACTTCCTGAGCCGGCAAAAAAGTTAACCTGCTGTATTGGTGCTGCATGCTGGTAGAAACCACATCAGGACTGCGTACTCGTCCTTCAGCCTCTCGACCCCTGGGCTACCTAATTCTACGACAATACTGTAATTGCATAACATGCATCTTGATGGTGGCCTGGTGAGGGCCTAGTGTATAGTATCTACAACGGTAGCCCACGCACCAAACATGTCGAAGCAACCTGACTATATACATACATATATATATATATATACATAGGCGTAGACATATGTACACACATACACACATATGCACATATGTATGTATGTATATATATATATATACACATCATGCACATATAGCAAGTTTCATGGGCAAACCATGAAATATGTACATATGTAGAAGATCTATGCGTATCATACATGTGCATTGCACCAAAGTTTTTCAAGCCCAGTATCAGACATCTGAGCTTTCAGAAACCACGGGCACCCGAGGTAGACCAACCCTACATCTTTCATGGAACTAAACACTACAGCCTGAAACCGTTCACACCTTACTAGCAACTCCCTAATGTAGGGGCCGAAATTACCTACACTAGTTTGGGGGGTGCCTTATTATAATTATAGTAGAGTATACCCCCGAAGCCCTGTTCTAACTATGTAGGCTCCTGTAGCACTCACAAACTTCGAAGGCCCGGAGGCCTTGGCGCACTGCTCCCGGACCTCCATCTGCAACCTGTCGTCCTGACGAAGATCGTCCAAGACCTAGCCCGGAGGATTTCATTCAGGGGTTTAAAATTTAGGGTTGAGGGGTTCTCAGAATTCGAAGTTTCGGGGGGTTAGGATTTTCATGTATGCTTCGGGTTTCGGTTTCGGGTCGTGGAGCTTAGAGTTTCAGAGTTTGGGTCGCAGAACCTTAGCCTTTGGGGGTCGGTTCACTGCTCGTGCATAGTGCGACTCACTCTTTTGAATCTTGTGGTGATTTTACTTCTGAGTCGCCACGTGAGGAGTGTAATCCTGCCATTCCAGTATTTATTGCGTAAACCCATTTGTATTCTTATGATGACGAGTTCTTTCGGAATTGTTATCATCCGGCTCTGCTCTCATAGCAGCATGACTCAGTTTGGATTTTCTTGTTCAGCTGTGACTGGTACTAGTAACCTCGAGTAACGGTCGACAAGCTCTTGCCGGAGGCGACGGTGTAGCATGGGGAGGCATGCACAAGGATTTCTTGCTTTGTTCATAGTTCGTCTTGAGTGACATTCATGAGGCACGTCAAACCTTCGACTCTAAACTCAAAGCCAGTGACGCTTACTTGAAGTCGATCATTCAACCTGTACTATAGAGGCCTTAATTGATAATTAGAATAGGGTTTCGGGGTCCACTATGCGACAATGAAAATAAGAAACCATTCCCCAAAATAGAATTATAGGTACTTATTATATGGCTCCTATATTACCCCCAAACTTCGAAAGCCCTGTTTAAGAACGCTTTACATAGAGGAACCCAAAAGTACCTGCAGCACTTCGTCTCGGCGATGCTGTCGTGCGGCTGGGTTTGCCGCCGCCAGGGCCTATCGAGAATCGGGGCCGGGGCACTTGCTTGAGCTCTTGGGGTTCGGGGCACAAGGCCAGGATATGCACGGCTTGAAGGCATGTTCAATTGCCTTTATGTAGAAGCTTGGAAGACTGTCTCAATGCGTACAGTGCTGGCTATCTGCCTCTGAGATGTCTACGGCCATATAGGACCCTATACAGGGGCTGACAGGATGGCTCTCGGCCTCAAGAAGCGATACGTACTATGAGGGTTACTATATAAGTTAAGTCTAGCAGGTTACCGCGCCTTTTCATGCTTTTTCCCGTGGGATTTTCACTCCGCCAAGTGTGGTTTTCGTGGCGAGCGCGGGACTTCTGAATATAGGGGGCTTTGAGATGTCTGAAATTCATCTTTTCAAGACGATAGATTGATGATAGAAGGTCTTTTCTGTGTACGGAACCTCAAGCAACGAAGATACCGCTTCGCAGAAATGGAACCTTCCCCACAAGACCTGACCTCTTCGGCCCGGGCCTCCGAGCAGCCCAAGAAACCGTGAAGGAAACCCCCCCAGAGCCACTGCAAAATAATGGTAATAATGGTAATAATAGTAATAATGGTAATAATGGTAATAATGGTAATCATAGTAAAAAACTAATAGGTTAACTTGGCACGCTTCAATTTCAATGGTCCGACAGTTCGCGACACTTGAGTGCATGGTTGGGCCATGGATGCTCTGTTCTCAGAACGGATAAGACCATGGACGGCATCATGGTTGGGGCCATATGGATGATGTGTTCTGAACGGGTTAGTTGGGCCATGGATGCTCTGCTTTCGGAACAGATTATGCCCTGCCTGAAGCCATGCATGCATGCTCTGTTCTCAGCGCAGCACTAGCAGCAGCACCCGCAGGACGATAAGCACAAGCAGCAGCGTGAAGACTAGCTTCACCATCAGAAGTAGCACCACGAAGAAGATGACCAATTCCGAAGACTGTATGATCGAAGACACCGAAGATCCCGTGAAAACAGACACGCCCGCACACACACACACGCACACAAGACAGGAACACCCTAAAAATAACCAGGAGCAAGAACAGCCGAAGGGACAATTAAGGCGCGTCGACCTACTATAAGCTTGACAAGAGGGTTAAGGCCTCTTGGTCAAGGCTCAAGAGTTCCCAGCATTCGCTTCTTGAGTGGACTTTGCTCGAAAGAGGCGCGGGGACTTGCGAGCAGAGGAGAATCGGCCAATGCACACAACAGCAAGTAAGGCCGCAACCTTCATGCAACCTGTGTAGCACATGAAAGCTCTGACATCTTCGGCATGGGCCGGCAGCTCTCGCAGTAGAATCTCAACCTCAAAGGTTACCAACTCATGAACCTTTGGGCATGGAAAACCTGACCGACAGAAAGCCAACCTCTGCATGTTGAGTTTCA